CTTATCCTGATTAACAGACCTGTTTGGCATGTTGTTTGGTCGACGCGCTGATTGGTTAATCGTTAATCCTGATTGACAGCTCTGTTGCGCAACACCGAACGCGCGTTCGCTTTCTTGGACCGCTACTGAATTCGGGGTTCGCTTTCAGCGTTCGCTCTGGGTGAGCTCCGGGTTCGCTCGGGGTCAGCCCTAGCAGACCCCAAGCGAACCCGAAGGGAACCCATAGAGTGAACCCGGGGTGCGATCTGGGTTCGCTTTCTGTTAGGTTGTGTCTGGTCGGTAATGTAATATCTCCACTTTCAGTGAAAGCGCGGGACAACTATGAAACTCTTTGACACTATAATGATAACTAAGAATTTTGATTTAATATTGTAACAAGCATTCTGAGGGAAATACTAGTCCCCTACCGCCAAGTGTAATCTAGTTCCCACTTAAAATTGAAAATGCCATAATTCCACCAAAAACATTGAAGCGAAACAAAATTCAGACTTTATAACTTATCAAGGTCATCAAGATCAAGTCACATAACAAATATCAGCTCAATATCTGCAAGCGTTTAGAAAAAGATAATGAGGAAAAACTCTTAAGAATTAAAAGGTCGCAATTTCGTAAAAAATTAATGAAGCATAGCAAAATGCAGACTTGATCTTTTACTCATCAACATACACTGATATACATAAAATCAGCTCAATATCTGCAGCCTTTAGAAAAAAAAAAGTGCGGAAAACCAAGTGGGACAGACTGACAGACAGAGCGACTGACGGATAGACAGACAGACGGAAGGACAAACGCAGAGGAAACCTATTTTCCCCTCCGGTTTCGCCGGTAGGGGACTTATAACTTTAAAACTTAATGTACTAAATTTAACTACAGTAAAAACTAGATGCTGTCATGAGACAGTAATACCCGCACTAATGTGTTTGCCTATAAATGCAGGCATATAGCATCAGGTGGGCCAGAGGGGGCCTGCCCCCCCCCCCCCACTTTTTTTTTAAACATAAAATTTTACTATTGAAAATGTTCATGAACGAGTGGTTGCCCCCCCCCCCCACACTTTTTGTTGCATTATAGTCAAATAAAGGTAATGTAGTAGTGTATATATAAAATTGGAGTACTGAAAAAAGTTGGAATCCACCCCCACCCCCCAACCACCCCATGAAATAGGATTTTTGAGTTTTGAAAAAAAATTTTGGCTAGTCAAATTTTTTCAGGTAAGTTGAATTTTTTTTCTCTGGCTACCCCCCCCCCTCCACTTTCAAAAATGTTGCTACGTCCCTGAAATGTGCTCTGACTGCTCTCCTTCAAATTCTGGTAACCAGGGAAGAAGCACACATTTAAATCAAGCATAAAATGCTCATGTGAACATGCAGCCCATATGGGCCTCTTATGTAAATCAGGTGTGGATCCAGGAATTTTTTCCATTGGGATCCAACCCAGAAATTTCTTGACAAGCAAAAAAAAAAAATAATTTCATGGTGCTCGGGGGGGGGGGGGGGGGGGGGGTTGGCCGCTCACTTTTTAAGCTTCATAAGTATAACTTTTCAACTTAACAGGGGTCCGTGTTTTCTAAGGGGGAGGGGTTCCAAGGTCACTTTTAGTTGCTTCCGTATATAAATTTCGTGTATAGGTTCCGGACCCCCTCCCCCCTCTAGATCCGCGCATGTAAATATTTCATAACCAGTCTGATATTACCTAATAATGTAAATTCTGATAAAGAGAGAATTTTTGAAAGATTTGTGTAAAAAAAAGGGGGGGGTTAATTTTCTACCCATAATTGGAACTTGTTGAATTTATTGTCAAAACAACAAATATTATTATTTTAGTGCATAGCTTTTTTGATGAACAGAAAAAATAAATGCCAACTTGTGCAAATTTTTATCAATATTTGGGTAGGACTCGGAGAACCCCTTTACCAAATCTTGACCCAATCAACTTTGTTAAAAATCATCCTCACCCACGATTCACCCGTTTTCCTGTCATATTTAGAATAGATAACACAAACTTATGAATCATAATATAAATTTTACAAATGTAGGCTACACCTTTTTGGAAAATTTCTAGACTCGTGCGTGGAATTACGTCACACTGCGAGCACTACTTTTACCGTTATCATTATTGTTTTGCACATGGTGTATGTACATCATTATTACCACTGGGATTATTAATATTTAGTGTGTGTTTTATATGGATTTATTATTCTATCAAGTTAACAGTACCTATAACAGGCGGTAAGTACTGTGTTATGAATATATTATTTTAAACATTTAGTATAGAACGGGGTTTGTTTGTTGTTCAACGTCCTTCTCGAGAATTTTTCATTCATATGGAGACGCCATCACTTGCCGGTGGAGGGCTGCAAATTTTAACCTATGGTCGACACTGGTCTCCACGTCCCGCAGTGGATTCGAACCCGCGACTTAAGGATCAACTCCTTACTCCACGACTCTAGAGCAGACTTTCTAACCACTGCACCACTAGAACGGGGTAAAATAATCGGAAGTGAAAATGGTTAAGGGCCTATAGTTGGAAAAGGGTCAAAGATCATTGGAATGCCACAATTACACAAATTATACAATGAGGCAAGTCCCTGGGGTCATTCCACTTGATCTTTGGAACCGGAAACAATAAAATAGCTTTCATTAAAGCAAAAGCCCCTAAGTCATCTTTGTATTAAAACACACTAAATAGGATATATGGGGTCATGACCTCCCAGAGGTCATTCCCAACCCCTAAAACTTGAAACAAATGATCATATACATTGTATCTTGAAAATGGTTGAAAACTCTCCCCTTAACCATATATAATATTGTCCCTCGAGTCATTATGCATTAAATGGTATAAAGGTTATGACCCCTTGAAGTCATCCTCATCCTGAAACTGGAAATGATCACAATATGATCTGCGTCAAAAGTGTGTTAGTGATAATCTGCTTGACATTTTATTCAGGACCCCCTAGGGTCAGTCCACCCTCCTAGAATTAGAAAATGAAAATCATTCAGAGACCCACCATTATACTTTGTGTACATATACATTTTTGTATTATTCACAATTCATTTTATACCAAAACAAGTTATAAATAATTTGTATAAATAAATGAGCCTGGGGCTGGGAAGGGAGAAAAGGGGAAGGAGTTTTGTCTGCATGGTCTTAAATGTTGAAAACTCCTAAAATTTGTGAATATTAACCCGGTCGTTTCCCACTTGTCATCATTATTTACTGATCTTCTCACAACATATATGTGTCTTTATTAAATCAATAGATCATGGACTTTTTTTAGGTCATATGCCTAGCTCTTCCTTGAATCAGGAATGGTGATATAAATATTTCAAGAATGATTAAGAATTAAAACAGGTCTTGCACAATCTCTTAAAATTGATTAAGCTCTGTAGTTGAATTAGCTTTACTGGTATAGCTTGGTTTTGCTATTCAAAACACTTTGATTTAGCTATTTAATCATACTTTTCTTTAATGTACATTTTTATCAATATAGATAAAAGTTGCACTATGTTGACATGGGTATAAATTTTAAATTTTCAGCTTTGAGTTTTCTGAAAACAATGCATGGAGGAAAATTGCATTTCAAAAATTGTCTCCTGAGAATTTGCTATCACAGATATATATACACATGTATATTTTGCATGGGGCTATATACCTGGAGTAATCTCTCTCTCTCTCTCTAACATCTACTGAGTCAAAATTAAAGTGGAATTATAAGACAATTTTTTTTAATAATTACAAAAGGACAAAACCAGAAGTCTTTTAACGTGGTTTGTTACAAATTTCACTTGGAACTCTTATTAATTTGCTCAAGATCAGTATTTTCAGTAGGCAAAAATGAACTTGATCAATTATGCTTGAAAAGTACTCACTGTGAACAATCACCTGACTTGTTGAAGACAGGTAAACATACCCCTCAGGGTATAATTATCATACAAAGGCCTGAATAAAATTGAAGTCATAATTAAATCATCATCTTAGTTGAAATAAGAAGAAACACACTAGAGGTGTGATGAAATATTTAGAAACACAAAGAGTTTTATTTCTCATGCAAAATATTCCTTCTTGTGTAAAACAATTGTTCAAATGAAGTGCCAAACCTTCTTTTAAGGGGAGATAAGAATGAGTGAAAATTTAATGTTATTTCAAAAATCTTCTTCTGAAGAACCACTGGGCCAGAAAAGTTTAAAATTATGTGAAACTTCATTACTTAGTGTAGATTCAACTTTGTCTAAATCATGACCTTCAGGGGTAGGGTGCGGCCACAATAGGGGATCAAAGTTTTGTAAACATGGGAATGTACAGTAAAACACGCTTACAACAAAGTGCCTGGGATGGACGATTTTGCTTTGTTATAAGTGTAATTGTTTATATCCATTAAGTTTACAATATATTTTAAAGTAACGGGGAATGAAAATTGCTTCGTGTAAGTGTCAATTCATTATAATCTTGTTTTGCTATAAGTATGCTTTACTGTATAAGAAAAAAATTCCCTCTCAAGAATCACTAGGCAAGAAAAGTTGAATCTTATGTAAAAGTTTCATTACATAATGTAGAAACAAATTTGTTCTTTCAAAACTACTCCTCCTACAGGTTTGATGCAACAAGTAGACTTTACTAGTCTACATATTGTTTTTGTCAGTTTTCTTCTTCAATCAAATTTTGTCCGAGCCTTAACTTGACAACCCTTTGATATTAAGACTTCAAACTTGAAACATGGAGAGGTGGTATGAATTTGGGGTTGAGGCCACCAAACTCTTTTTACCTTGACCTTTTGATAAGGTCAAGGTCAATCTTTACATAAAAATATAGTCCAGGCTATAACCTGAGAACCCTTTCACATTAGAACTTCAAATTTGTAACATAGAAAAAAGACATTTACAAAAGATGCACTGCACTAAAATGTTGACCTTGACTCCTTTCTTCATTCAAGGTCAAATTGAGAAAAACACCTCCAAACCATAACTAAGAACCTTTTGACATTAAAACTTCAATCTTGGAACATGGAGAGGTGGTATGGAGAAAGGATGCATGCAAACAAAATTTTTTACCTTGTTTTTATGCCCAAGCATGAATATGGCCAATGCATATAGTGTTTGTCATGTCCGTCTTCCATCCTTTCATCCTTCCGTCTGTCTTTCCATCACGCTTTGCGTTTAGCTCTGTTCAAAGCTCAGTTTCAAAGAAACTATCAAAGATATTTTTATCAAACTTCATATGCTCATAGATATTGCTAAGAGCTATGTAACTGCATCATCATTTTTTGACCTTGACCTTTCCTTTTACCTTGACCTCACTTTTCTTAAATTAGTGTTAGCTCAGTTTTAAAGATACCATTCAAGATAGTGTAATTAAACTTCTTACGTTGATACATACTGATGTTAGCTATTCAACTGAATCAACATATTTTTGACCTTGACCTCACTCTTCTTAAATTAGTGTTTAGCTCAGTTTTAAAGATACCATTCAAAATAGTGTAATTAAACTTCTTACATTGATACATACTGATGTTAGCTATTCAACTGAATCAACATTTTTTTGACCTTGACCTTTCCTTTGACCTTGACCTCACTCTTCTTAAATCAGTGTTTAGGTCAGTTTTAATGAAATCATTCAAGATATTTTTATCAAACTTCATATGCTGATACATACTCATGAGAGCTATTCAACTGCATCAATATTTTTTTACCTTGACCTTTCCTCTGACCTTGACCCCACTTTTCTTAAATTTGTGTCAAAATCCATACGCTGATACATACTGATGCAAGCTATTCAACTGCATCAATATTTTTTGCCCTTGAACTTTCCTTTGACCTTTACTTCATTTATTTTAAATTTAGTGTTTAGCTCAGTTTGAAATAAACCATTCAAAATATTTTTATCAAACTTAATATGCTGATACGTATTTGTGAGAACTATTCAACTGCATCAAAAATGTTTGACTTTTAACTTTCCTGTGACCTTGACCTCACTTTTCTTAAATTTGCATTTTGCTTAATTTTAAAGAAACCATTTAAGATATATTTTTGTAAGCGTAAGCACTTATACATAATTTGGTGAGAATTTATCATCTATATCCAACTTGTTAGATTTCAGTTTCAATTTTAAAGAAAGTATGCAAGATATTCTCATCAAATTACATACACTAATACAAATTTTCATGTTGCATTTCTATTAAACCCTCGGCAGGGCATTCATGTCCTATGGACATATTTCTAGCTGTATACGAGGGGTGATCAAAAAGTTCGCGAACTAATTGAATAACTTCTTTAAAAGAAATAGAATGAAGTTTCAGTGTTTATTATTTTTTAAAGTAGTCCTCTCCGATTTTAATGCACATCTGCTATTGTTCTGCCCATGCGCGAATCACGTGATCCAGGCAGTCACGTGACATGCTCCTAAGCAGTCTGTTCAGAGAAGCAAAACGATCTTTCCGAGTCTTATATTTCTTACCATGCAAGTTATTTTTTATAACAAAAACAGTCCATCTGTCAGAAATGGCCAAATCTCGGCAATAGGATGGGTGGATAAGGATATCCCTCCCCACAATTAGTATGGTGACCCATCACAGCCCGAGTCCTCTGTCTCGGGAGAGTCGTTTTTCCAATGTGGATAAAGTATGGGCGCCTTCTTTTTATCATATCTCATATGTCTAAAGTCTAAAGTAAACGATATTTTAGAGATTTAATAATTATGTTATTGTTTAGATATACAACCATTTTTCTAATTGTTATTTGACGATGTTTCATAAAAAATTGCTCAACTAAAGACACATCTTTTGCCCGGCTTGCTTTCGCTGGGCAACAGAACAAACATCATTTTTAACCATCTCCCTGTCTTTACTTAAACAATCAATCCAATTAATGATTGAACTTCTGGTGAGTCTTTTGTCTTCATAAACCTTGTACAAATTATCATATTCTACTGCAAAGGAATTTCCAAGATATACGTTAAACTTTACAGCCGTTCGTTGCTTGAGTACGACTGAGTCAACCATTTTTTGTCACAAGTGACCTACATATTGACGTCATTTTCACATTGTGATGTCACAAACACGGAGCAAAACATTATTTAACATATGTTATTTATAGAACATGTGTATGACTATTTGTTTGCCAAATTTCATTCTGATCTGAATTGTGGTTTTGTAAATATAGAGATAGTTCGCGAACTTTTTGATCACCCCTCGTAAAAAACCGTCATTTTTCGACCCCCATTTGACCCCAAGGGTGAAAATGAAAATTCCGAAACCTTACTGCACATCTACATGACACCACCAAACATCTCCCAAAAGATGATTAGGCTACTGTGTAAAATGTAAGAGGAGTTCACGGAACCAGGGGCTTTTTGCATAAAAAACGTCATTTTTCGACCCCCATTTGACCCCAAGGGTGAGAATGAAAATTCCGAAACCTTACTGCACATCTACATGACACCACCAAACATCTCCCAAAAGATGATTAGGCTACTGTGTAAAATGTAAGAGGAGTTCGGGGAACCAGGGGCTTTTTGCATAAAAAACGTCATTTTTCGACCCCCATTTGACCCCAAGGGTGAAAATGAAAATTCCGAAACCTTACTGCACATCTACATGACACCACCAAACATCTCCCAAAAGATGATTAGGCTACTGTGTAAAATGTAAGAGGAGTTCAGGGAACCAGGGACTTTTTGCATAAAAACGTCATTTTTCGACCCCCATTTGACCCCAAGGGTGAAAATGAAAATTCCGAAACCTTACAGCACATCTACAGGACACCACCAACCACCTCCCAAAAGATGATTAGGCTACTGTGTAAAATGTAAGAGGAGTTTGAGAAAGAAGAGTGTGACAGACGGACGGACGGACAGACATGAGTAACAACAATATACCCGAACTTTCTTTAGAAAGTGCGGGTATAAAAATAGTAAGCAATTATTTTCCATAAAATTCTTTTGTTAGGGACACGCTGATAAGTATCATGTCATGAATTTTGTACTCGACTTTAGTTTTTTTTTTTTAAATTCAAATGTGTGCTAAATTGTCTCCTAAGCACATCAGCATATCCTGTATCTTTTGTCTTATGTTCCTAGTTATTGTAAGAAGAAAATCAAAACCAAGAGACAAAACCAGAAAGCAAGAAAAGAAAAAAGTGAAGGTTCCCGTGCTACAGGACTTATGAATTACGCTTATTTTACCATAGAACTCCAGGATCAGGTCATCAAATCATCAAGTCTTGACAACAAAATAGAAAGTCCGTACACTGAAGCTAAAGAAGAAATATATGATCACATCAGGGACAAACAATCCAGGAAAAATACAGATGATGTGGAATATAAATATGATACTACTAAGAACGCCATAGCAAAGAAAGAACAAAATAATCAGAGCACTGAAGAGACGTATGATCGACTCGGAGAGGAAAGATGTAATACAAATGCAGATGATACATATCATCATGCATTGACAATAATAAAGGAAAGATCCGAGTATGACGTCACAGATGTAAGGAAACAGTATATACTCGGCAGTCCCTATAATCATGTTGAAATCATTCCAAATGAAAATGACACTGAACAGGACACTATCAGCAGCCTTTCTGAGAAAATGAATGAAGATCATACATATTTCATACTTGAACAGGACTAGAAGATGTTATTACGCTAGACATCATGTATGCTTTTAATTTCAATTCAACAGTTTTTATTCTTTCATTTATGAAGAATAAACACATCTCAAACTATTCTTGAATGAAACACGTAGTATTATCAAATGAATAACGGAAAATTATTAGTCTTTTTAGATTATCCTACGCATACAAGTATACAGAGGGTATTAATGACCTGGTTATGTTTCATATCTCCTTCTGCAAATTGTATGTCTTTATATTTAGTACATCATTTAGATATCTCTCTTCAACTTTATTCAAAAGTAACGAAAAATAAGAATAAAGGAAAGCTCAAATATACAATAAGTATTTTTCTTCAAATGTGGTATCGAATGTTCTTACTGTGTAAAATATTTTTATTATTAAAGTATTAAATTTTTTTAATATTGACATCATTTAGATATACCATTTCGTCTTTGTTAGTTATGAGAAATGTAAATAAAATTGGGCAGAAATAAATAAAATTATTTTTCTTCAAGAGAGATATCAAAAGTTCGCATTCTGTAGAATATTGTTATTAGTTGAGTATTTTTTTTTTATTTAAGAAAGAAAAAAAATAAAGAGAGACACCTTTGTTTTGACAGATAGATTAACAATCTGATATTCTGACATTGCTTTACTGTTTTCAGATATAAATATACGCAGGTATATTAAGTCAGTACCCAGATCATTTTTCGGCGAATTTAGATTTTTTTTTTTTTGTTTGAAAATGTAACATGGATAAATCGGAAAAGCCATAGATAAAACATTTACTATTATTATCCTTTGTATAGACGTCATTGAGTCTTAGGCTGAAAGAAGCACTTCACTACGACGTCATCATGTGACCTCTATGAATAGAAAAACTGCTTTAACGAAAAAGTGAAAAGTTCAGAACTACCCCGGGGAAAATTTCTTTTTTTTTTTTTTTTTTTTTTTTTTTTTTTTTGTAAAAAATAATTAAAAATAAAAATATCACTGGATTATGAAAAGTGCTGCTGGAATCCTACTCTCCCGAAACAAAACAAAAATACTCTAAAGCTTCGCATGAAACCTTACCAAAATTTTCACATTTTGTAGATACAAACAAGGAATTGTCATCAATTCATGTTACCCACACGATTCTTACAGCACTTTCCAAGTACTATAGAATACAAACTTTCGATACAAACAAAAGTTTTGTTTCAAAGTATGCGGCGTAGTGTTGAACTTTTGCATCTTTGTTGTTAGAACGACAGAGGAAAGGCTGATCGGGATTTCAAAGCACTGTCTGTGTTCATTATAAGAAAACGTGATAAGTATAAATCAGCGTACCTGATTCTTAATCCCTAAAGCTTTATGAATCACACATGACATTCACGGCATATGCTTTAAAACTCCCATTTCATATATTTGTTTACATGAATTCTCGTCACGTTTAATTTTCACTCGGCAAATATTTGATAAATAGTTATGACGTCATGGGTTTGGTATTTAACCCCCATGACAAATACTAAGCTTTTTATACCACCCAAAAACGGTAACAGTTAGTTTATGTTTTAATTGTTTGTATCGAAAGCTTGTATTCTAAAGTACTCGGAAAGTGCTGTTAGAATCGTGTGATGACAATTCCTTGATCGTATGTACAAAATGTAAAAATTTTGGTAAGGTTTCATGCAAAACTCGGAATATTTTATTCTGTGTCGGGAGAGTGGGATTCTAGCAGCACTTTTCATGACCCAGCGATGCTATAACATAGTTATTTTTACAAAGAGAAATGAATTATTCCCAGGGTAGTGTTGAGCTTTTCAATTTTTCTATTTATAGACGTCACGTGATGACCTGCTTCTTTTAGCCAAAGACTCAATGACGTCTACAATGGATAATGATTGTAATTGTTTTATCTATGGCTTTTTCGATTAATCAAACTTACATTTTACGAAAAAAAGTCTACATTCGCCAAAAAATGATCTGGGCAATGTCTCAACATACCTGCTTTATTTTTACACCAATTCAGTGTTACGAGGGCAGTGTAAGGCGTCGCCCCATCTTCAACAAGCGTAGCGTGTCCCGGATATTGAACCAACTTTTGTTAATCAATCCTGCCATTGTTTTTATATCGATTCAGTGCAGGTTTAAGTAAGTTTTTAAGAATTTTATTTACATAATAATTTGCATGGGTGGAACCATATGTAGCTTGGACAAACCATGAACTCCCATCGCCCCCCCCCCCCCGCCCCATATCATGACTTTGGTGCTTGACTTCATGCAGCTAGCGTCGGGTGCCTCATCTGGCTGGAACCCCCACACAACATCGTCCTATAGATTCGGAACATGAAACACATATTTTGTAGATTCGTCACTAAAGATGTACTTCTCCCAGTCTTCAGCCGTCAAATGCTTGTGATCACGAGCAAATTCAAATCTCTTCTGTCGTTGTGTCTTTGACAGTAGTTGATTTCTTGATCCTTTAAATGCTTTCCATTTTTTTACCTTTCGCAAATAATTAAATACAGTTACATCACTCACGTTAAAACCCGAGTTCTTGGGTTCCTTGATGCATTTTCTTGTTGATTTTCCTCTTTTCTATTTTATGTTCTCCACTTTTCTCTTTACTACGTCTGCTATCTTCGACAGTCGGTCAGATCTCCGTTGATCGTTTAGCTGTTTATTTTGCTCTCGCCTTTGTCTCCACATTGTTACCCATCGCTAACTTTTACAAAGTTCTTTAGTCACATCCTTCACACTTTATCCTGCTTCTAATAAAGCCAAAGCTTGAGCTCGTTCGTTGACAGTATCGACACTTGTACACGACTCTGCTTTTTCACCGAACTCGTCATTTTATTTGATAACGTAATATACATAAATGTTTACAACACTCTATAGTAACACTAGACAGTGCAAAAATGGAAGGATAACTGCTGATATGATGAGACATATTCTATAGTAGTTTTACAAAGTTTAAAATAAAAGAATGGCTTTTATCAATTTATTTTTCAAAATTTACAAACAGAACGAACTTTCTTTACACCCTTTAGTACATCTGTATCATATTTGTAATCTTATGTTATAATATTGGATTATTCCATTTCTACTCCTGTATAAAATTTTCTTCATTAAATGTTTATGTATATAATTGAATTTAAAAAAGTCTCTTTTCATACTTGAAACATTTTTTTTTTCCATTTGAATCTAATTTTTGTTATTGGTAATTGGAACATTATTTAATGAAATTCAAAACAAACGTCATTTAGGGCCATTAGATATAATATTATTTCATTATTGCGATCATCCGAGCGTAAATTTTAGTATTGTATGATTACTGCAGAATTTCAAGATGTTATGTTGATTGTGAACCATAAACTATGATACAGGACAGACCTTTCAGTAGTAAATTATAAATTGTCATTGTATAATTTTACCTCCTAATTATATTTTGTTGATGCTTTCAGAATATTTAAAGATTTCATGCAATCAACCGAGACGAAGGACTACATTGAAACAAATACTTATCATAGTTATTTTTCACAACTGTCTTTACCTGTATTTTCCTAATCTTCTTTATTTCCGTTCGAGAAAACATAGGTGTTCAAATATATTATTTCGGGAATATGAATGAATTTCAAAGAAGCTCCTTAACTTTCTAAATACGTTACATATCTAAGTCTAGAGAAAAGTGTTAAGTCGGTCAAATCAATATCAAATGCTTTTTTAAAACTATAGCAAATATTGAATTCGAAAATATTTACATCCTAAACATGGTTTTTACAGTGTAGTAAATGTAGGTTTATAAAGCAAATAATTAAAAAAAAAAACTCACAGGAAATCGAGGTAAAAAATACATCCGCATATTTTTTTTTTTTTTTTTATTGGTATAGCACAAGTGAGTTGAATAAACAGGCCGTTTAAAAGTTTATTAAGTTTCTTTTAATGGAGACATCAGAAAGATAGAAAGAAAGATACAACAATAGTATAATAATTTGCTACCTCCATTTGAATAAAAAAAAAAATCATTGCCCAATCATTCATATACAGGCTGATACGTATAAAAAGCCAAAAATGTACTTTGAACTGCAACAAAAATTCTATTTTGAGAAATATCATAATAAGAATAAGAAAACATGTACATGTAATCATATGTTCTTACATGTTTATGTATTTATCAATACTTTAACGCCGCAAAGCAAGTCATGTGTATAGATTTCTTGAGCAGTTGCTTTTGATCTTCCATCAATGAAACATACAATGAAGTTTTGTTTGTTTGTTGTTTAATATCCCTTTCGAGAATTTTTCACTCATATGGAGACGCCACCACTTGCCGGTGGAGGGCTGCAAATTTATACCTATACTCGGCACTCATACCATTGAGCAGTAAGGGAACTTTTTCGTGCCTACACCTACTGCGACACGGGACCTCGGTTTATACGGTCTCAATCGAAGTACCGGTCTCCAGGTCCCGTAGTGTATTCAAACCCGCGACGTAAGCTTCTTACTCCGCGACTCTAGAGCAGACGCTCCACCTACTGCGCCACACTTGGAATGATTAAGCCGCTTGAATTTGAAACATGCTCCCTGCCAATTTAAAAGATCACCGCCGGCACATGTATATTTTGAACTACTATTGTCTTTGTTTAGATGCATGTTTGTTTTTAGACTGAAATTCTTGTGATACAAAACACATTAACTTCTTTTTAAATGTCAATTAAATTATACTGGAAATACTGACTAAGTAACCGATTTAGGGGGGGGGGGGGGGGGGGGGCTCTTAATCATATCGAATGGCAAACATGTAAAGTTACGGTGAAAAATATCATTACTGGAGAATCACCTTGGTTATATCAATGATAATCATGTTATAAAGGCATTTCTCTTTCTCTAATTAAAGACTTTATATATGTAAAGTAAAAAAAACCTTGAATGCATTACATTTTAAACAAATATTTTTTGTAAACCACACTATCAATTTAATTTGCTCTAAAGATATTTAATTAACTGGATATCTGCAGTACTGTTTATAATTCTCAGAACTAGTTCTCACATGCAT